GGTCGGAGGGCGCGCCGGTGGAGGCGTATCCGCGCGATGCCTAAGTAGGCTTAGCGAGGCGCGCCTCGGTTGGATTCGGAAGCAGGCTGAGAAAAGTTCGAAAAACGGCCGGCAGCTCACCGAAAATTTTTCAGGGCATACCGGAGATGTTGTCGGAGCACGACACAAAATTGGGTAGGATTGGAAAAGTTCTGACTGGGTTAAACTCGCCGAAAAGGCCGGAGCCGATGCGGTGCCCGTCCGATCACTTCGGCGATGCGAGCGCCTCCCTTCTTAGGACCGGATGCGATACAACGGAGCTGGTCCTAACAGATCGCAACAGGCTTAAAAACCGGTCTGGTCTCTCTCGGTCTAACTCGGTCGCAAGAATGTGAACGGGCCTTTAAGGAGACCGGACTCAACGCGCCCATCGGCTCTCCAAGTGCTATGTGGGAAAGTTTCGCACGGTCATTGATGAGAATGTGTTTCCTAATGTTTCTTTACCTGCAAAACAATGCCAAACGCATCGGTTGAAAAAAGGCTCATGCTGTTAACTATCAACGATGCTGACAGATCTCTAGCCTGCGATGATGAGAAAGAACCAGCTACTGAGCTGTTGCGGCCTATATAAATAGTAAGGTGTACTCGCTTATGGCTCAAAATACCTTTTGAATTGCATTTGCTGTTATAATTACCTTTCCTTCTAAAGCTACGCGAGTTCAGACCTTTCAAAATCGGGCTTCTAATCGGTGACATTTTCAGAGCTCGTGCGTATGGCGCATGTTTCACTCGCTTTCCGAAGCTATGACCATGCACGTGCTGGGTTCTGGTATTCCCACGCTGGACTGTGATCTTGTAAACATTGGAACGGTATATTCAGGCAAAGGTAAATCTGATAGAACATAGAACATAGAACATAGAACATATAACATAGAACATAGAACGCTTTATTGATAGAACAGTCATTTTTCAAAATAAAATAGCCAGCCGGAATAAGCCTCAAGGGTTTGTGTACCTGGCTCGGCAGGTGACGAAATCATATAGATTAGATAATGAAGAAGATTAATTGAAAGCAATTTATAACCTATAGCACACCCGTTCTCTGAAACCTCAGTGCGTCTTAACCCAAACCGAAAAGATACACACACCAAACAAACACCTTTGACACACTGCAACCGCAATGTTTAAAAAAGGGGGAAAAAAACACGAAAAAATCAAACAAACAAAACAATGCACTTGAAAATTTTACTTTACTCCTCTAAGTTCCGTAGCGCATTCTTAAGTTGTTGTTTTTTGTTTTGTTTTTCTCGACGTTATAAGGAGCATTGATTCTAGTAGGTGGTTAAATACATGCAGCACATAATACACTGCCACACGCTCACCGTAGCGAGTTCGTATACGCGGTACCTCAAAACGAAGAAATGGCCTCGTTGGCCGCTGTTGGATATAAGAGGTTTTGAAATTGGAGCTCCAGAAATGACGCAGCACGACGGTTTCCCTAAAAAGCTCCTCAGAAGACGACGTGTGAAGTTCCTGAAATATCTCTGCACTTGAGACGTCTGGCATGTCAAAAGCGACACTTTTCACAAAACTTTTCAATAACGAATTAACTCTTGCGCCTCATAACAACGAACATCCCATAAAAAGTGTCATGCCGTACCGTAAATAACTATATCCCAAAGCCTGTGCTATCATTTTGCTAACAGAGAAAGGCAGAAACATTTTAACATTGTAGAGTAAGCACCAAACGCTTCTTAACTTTTTGCACAAATACGTCAAGTGTGTACACCAAGATAAATCACTATCGAAGTATATTCCGAGGTATTTTACAGATTTGACACATTTAATAATTTCGCAATCACAAGATCTGCAGCTACAGGAAGTGGGAATTAAACCCGTTTAAGTGAATTTTTAAAGCAAGCCAGTTTTGTTATTGGCGCATTCACCTTAATCAGGTTCGAAGTAAACCAATTCATTGTACAAGTAATATCATATTGAAGATGTTGATTGGCGATAAGGTAATCTGCATTACATGACACTAAGACCGTGTCACCCGCGTATTGAAATACTTTACATCGTGAAACAGCACTAAGGAGATCATTTATATATAAATTAAGAAGTAAAGAAGACAGCACTGAACCTTGCGGTACTCCAGCCGTTAAAAAAGTTCTACTACTCTTTTGATTTTTAAAAACCACACCCTGGGAACGTCCTGAAATGTAATCTTTTAAGAGTGAAAAAAACGGACCTCGAAAACCCAACTTGTATAGCTTGGGGCAGAGAATTTTGTTATTTATGCTGTCGAAAGCTTTCGACACATCCAAGAACACTGTACATGAAAACATTATTATCAAAACTTGTATGTAAGCAATCTCCAAAACCATCTAAAAGCGCTTGGGTTCCTCGTTCTGCAACAAACCCATACTGATGATCGGACAATAAGCCAAACCTTTCTACGAAACCATTCATTGCCCTCAAAAGGTGTTTTTCTAGTAAATTCGCCAGGCACGACAAAACTGAAATAGGACGATAGTTGGTAAAATCATCCGCTGCCCCTCCCTTGAAAAGTGGCTTAACAATAGCAGTTTTCATTCCCGTCGGGCAAATTCCGGTCTCGATGATATCATTCAATATTCCTAACAGTACATATTTAAGTTTTTCGTGATTTTTACGCAGATCCCGTATATGAACTTTATCGAAGCCTGGCGATTTATTTTGTTTAAAAGAAAATAAATAAACTCGGAGCTCACTTTCAGTGAAGGAAGGCACAAAGGCTGAAGCTAGATTGTAATTTTGCAACGTATCCGTTCCGACGTTTTGACTATCTTGAGCTGCACCGGAAGTACGAGCAAAAAAAGCGCTGAAGTTCTCAATCGTTTTTTGTGTCACAGGCGCGAAAGACTTGTCTATCATGTCATCGATTGAATGTCTTTTTTTGCCGCCACGAAGACGATTGGCTATCTCCCAGGTTTTTGCCGTGTCAAAGCGATTTTTTTTCAAACTCTCCTTTGAGTTACCTGCGCTTCGAAGAACGAACTAGTGCGCACGCTTTGTTCCTTGCTATTTTAAAGTCTTCCTTCAGCGCTGAATTGCTTGGTGACCGTTTGCAGCGTTTCCAAAAAAATCCTTATAACTTATAACCACTAAAAAGTCTGACGTACTCCATTCCTAATCTGGCTTATGTCTTTTAATTATTACTTTCTTTTTGCACGTAAATGTAAAAATAGAAAACAGACCAACAAACGTATCATACAACATTGATGGCTCAACCGAAGTTAAAAGGTTATTCCAGTCGTCGTTGTTAATTTTGCTATCTAACTGCGCTTGATCAGTTATGGTTATTTCTTTATTGTTGTTGTCGCATTCCTTTTTGTTTTTTGAGATTATGTGGCACGCTATAAAATAATGGTCCGCCAATTTATCTGTTATCACTGCAGCATTTACGGTACCCTAAAAAACGGAGGTTTATGCAATCGATACACGAGGATACTAATTTTTGACCTAAAAGTTCTTCCCGGGTGGGTGCCTGTACCAGATTTCCGATGCCGTAAGTTGCCATTAAGTCAACCTAATCGCAGACCACATGGCGCGAAGACTCCAATGTATTTTAATTGAAGTCTCCCACTAAGCACAGCTGACTTGTCGGGGTAATCACGGATAGCATTTTATCTAGTTCTTTGATAAGCAAGTTCGCGCTGTTTGAAGGGGGTGATAGATTGCTATCAAGTGAATAAAAAAATCCTGGCATCTAATTTGTAGGCTTACGCACTCGGAGTACGATACGGTTGTTGCAGACTGGTCGGCATCCCAGATGTCTTTGATAAAAACACAGATTCCTCCCCCTCTGCCCAACGTTCTTGTAAATGTAAACCGTTTGTAACCGGGAATAGAAAAGAGAGTTGTTGTATCCTCTTTAACATTAACTTCAGTCAAAACGAACGCATCTATGACAGCCTCCAATTCTCGGACCATAAGCATAAACTGGTCCCCGTACTTTCTAATGCTTCTTATATTAATGTGAAACAAGCTAAACGAAAGCTCGGAGGACGCTTCAGAATTCCTTTTCAGTAACGCACTGTTTGAAAACTCAAAACAAAAATTCATGTGAAGACCTACAGTATTTTGTCGAAGTCCGCCACGCGGTCAACACGCAACAGTGGCGACGAGACTTCTTTCTTCACGAAAATCTTCCCGTTTTTTATCCACGTGAATTTATTATGCTTTTCCCTTGTTTTTTCTCTGACCATCCAAAACAGTTGTCTGTTTTGCATCATAAAGTTCTCGTTGAAGTAGAGCTTTTGGGCCTCAGACCCTTGGGCAAGACCCCGCAACTTTCCACGAGCGCCGAGCCAGCGATCTCTTGTCTCCGTTGAGTTGAACTTGATTAACACTACCGGGGTCAATCCCGGTTTGACGGGTAGGCGATGTACGGCAAGAATATCGGTAGTTTGAAAGTTAGATATTGCAAGATTAGCTGCCAAGTTGCTGACAGACTATTTGAGATTTTCACCCGCTACAAAAGGCATCCCGTGAATCTCCAAGTTAGCACGGCGACTGTATTGTTCTCCACTGTTGATCTCCACTCGAAGAGAGGAGATCAACAGTGGTATGATAGCGATAAACAGTAGATAATTGTGTATGTTCAGAGAGCCACCTGAGCGGTTGTCGTTCAGGTTGTCGTTTGAAGTTAGAATTATGTGTAATGCGTATATAATCACAAATAAAAAGCACCACCATTACGTGCATGCTTCACTAATCATATGCAAATATATTTTTGCAACATATACGACAAGTGCATATTTTGGTTGTGCTGGCGTGTGTGAAGCTCAGTGAAAGATCTAAAACTGAACTTCTTTTTATCCTGTTTATCAGGCTCAGAAGGCCTACGGGAATGCGAAAAGTTAATTTGTAGCTTGAAGGAAAACGAAATATCCGTAAAGAGCTTTAACATGCTGTCTTATTGGTTCAGAGTACGTTATCGATCCGCGCTAACAACGAATGTTTTCTTTTTAATTTTTCAGGCCAAGGACGCTGGCCTGATGACTGAGCTTCACAACTTTCTTATCACTACCCTGGTAAGAATAGCAATCGGGGTGCTTCTATGCCCTCACCACTAACCAACTACGCTTTCTTCTTTCCAGGACTTCCACGTGGTGAACACCAAAGATCTAAGAAATGAAGACGCTCGAATTTATAGCTTCCGTTTGCTTCACCTCGAGGACGACGACTTCGCGCTGATGAGCAGGAGACTTGTCAAGTATCATCCGGACCTCACCACCAAATCGGAAGAGAAAGAGGTGGGAGCGCTTGCCTGGCAACATCCTTTGACAAACGTGGGCTGGTTCTGACATATGTTTGTAATACCGCATTAATTAGTCAAGTTCAATAAATAAGCGCGCGTGAATAAAACATTAAAATATCTATTGGTGGATCCTTAGGGAACGCCCTAGCGTGACCCTTGTGAAAATCGACACTTCCCAAAGGAGGGACATGTGTGGCGTTTCCCCTAGGCCATGCTGACGCATTCCCTAAAAATCCACCCAAGAAATTTTCTTTAATATTTTTTCCGCCCACTTTGACCAGCGCTAGTACTTGGATCACGCTCCAGTTTTCAGCAGAAACCAAGGCATACGGGCTCCGCACACCTGCAAGTTCAGACTCGCCCCAGCATCCGCGCGTTCATGGGCTTCCGCCCCGTGACGTCGACTCCCTCTCGCCTTTGTCCTTCACTACTCTCCTTCTCTCTACGCGGCGCACTTCCCTTCCCACGCTTTTATGCACAGACGGACGCAATAAGATTTTCTCTGTCATGGGGGTACTAATGCTAACGCACTAATTATTACTTCTACGTTTAAGGCCGACACACAGAATCGTCTTCTGCCGGGAAGAAAACCGCTTCCCAGTTTCCCTCTCTCTTCCTCTTCACTCTCGCCTTCTTATTTCCTCCTCTCCTCATATGAGCGGGTCTCTTAGCTAATCACTGCAGAAAGGAGTCTCTCACTTTCTCGAATGAAAAGGAGGAATTAAGGGAAATATGAAGATGGTAAAAAATAATTGCAGTTAGAAATGACATAGACCGTGCAAGTGAGCTGGCGAACTTTCAAAATTTTAAAAAATCCAGACTCGGATTTTTAAAATGTTAGAATTACCGTTTTCTACCTCCTGCTCTTATCATATTGAGTCGTTTCGCTTTATTTGGCAGCAGATACTCAGCAGCCAAGGAAAGCAGAGGTTTCTTCTACTTCGGCTTATGGTCCTGTTTTAGCACGTCTGCGGACCTACCACCTGTTACTAAGCGGATTATTGATATTCATTCATTCATTCATTCATTCATTCATTCATTTATTTTTCGTGCTCATGAACGGCGAGTAGCCTATGTAATGATGCACAGAGTCAAAAGAAACACACATAAGAAATCAACAGCACATGTAACAGCTAATATCTATTATGGGGGAACAGGAAATAGGTAACAGTTAAATATCAGCCAGAGAACACCTAAACGCTTGAACACTTGAGTTGAAAATGTCGATGTCGATGCTGGTTGTACTGAACCTGTTATAAAAATGTTGGATGCGGTTCATGGGACTGGAGAGGTTGATTTTTTGAACTGAGAAAGTGGGATTAACCCTCAAAAGCACTCGCGGTACATATATGCTAATAGCTGATGTAAGGGTCGAACAGTCAATGCAACCATGAACGCATTTATACAAAAAAACTAGATCGCGCTCAAGTCTTCTCGAGCTTAGTGTGGTACAATCACATCGTCGTAAAAGCCTGTTATACTCATAATAAACACTGCGGCCAATATAGCGATCATATACAATACGGAAGAAACGTCTCTGCACGTTTTCGATTTTTGCTTGGTTTGCATTACCAATACAATTCCAAACAACAGAACTAAACTCAAGCTTGCTACGTATTAATGAAAAATACAAAATGAATATGCAAGCTGACGAAGGGAATTCACGTGTTATTCTCGAAATAACACCTAGCGTCCGATAGGCACCATTTGTGATGTTGGAAACATGTTCATTGAATGACAAAGATGAATCAATATATACTCCTAGATCTCTTGTGCATTCAACCCTACGCAGAGGTAGGTTCTCAAGATAATAACAAAAACTTACAATTTCCAGTTTCTTAGAAAAGGACATAACTACAGTTTTTTTAGGATTTAGTGTTAACAAATTGCGGCAACACCAATGATGCACAGCATTAACATCCTCCAGTATCATTTCACAGTCATAGATGGATGAGACCTGCCTAAACAATTTGATGTCGTCAGCATATTGCAAAATATGTGAATGGCGGACACAAGAACCAAGATCATTTATAAAGACATTGAATAAAATTGGTCCTAGTATGGACCCCTGTGGCACACCCGAAAATGACACAAAAGGTTTAGAATGATGTCCCATTATACGAACGAAGTTTTTTCTTTCCATCAGACAGTTCAAAAAAAATTTGCAAAGCTGGTTATTGACTCCATATGTCCCCAATTTATGGACAAGAATTGAATGATTAACCAAGTCAAACGCTTTCGATAGATCAAAGTATACGGCGTCTACCTGCCCACGCTGATTGGTAATCGGCGAAACGAAGTTTAAAAATGATACTAGATTGGTCTCTACAGACCTGCCAGAGAAGAAACCGTGTTGTGAAATGCTAATTTTACGTTTAAAAAATTGTGACAAATGTTCAAACAAAACGATTTCATAAACTTTCGAAAATGCACAAAGCAAGGATACCGGCCTGTAATTCTTTACGTCATCGGTCTTGCCACCTTTGTGAACAGGCACAATGACAGAATTTTTCCAAAGCTCAGGAAAAGTAAAACTTGACAGAGACAAGTTGAAAATATGAGTTAATATCGGCGTAAAAATGGAGGAACAACCTTTAACAATAAAGCTTGGGATGCCATCAAATGCCATTGATATCTTGGGTTTTAGTCTTTTTATTGTGGTGTCATCCTGACCGCATCATCATAATATTGCTGTACCATCACTGACTGTCATTCACTATCTGACCTGCGTACGTGACTCGCCTCGCTCTCCGCTTATCAGTGATACGGCGGTTGGCGATATATACGCGCGCGGAATAAAGGCTGGGGGTTGTTCTGCTGGGAACTACTTGGTTGGCTGTCACTTTCTTCATCGTGCCGCGAGACACACGACATGGTGTCAGAAGTGGGATGATGCTTCTCGCCCGTGTTGTTTTGGCGGCCCTCGTCTTGCACTCGGTTTGCAAGATGGAAGTACCTACAGCGGTCCCTCCTCTGGCAGTTCCTCCGCCCAAACAATTCAACTTCGACCGAACTTCAGAATGGCCGGAGTGGATTCAAGAATTCGACGATTTCCGCTACGCCGTGGGTCTCAACGAGAGGTCGGAGGAAGCCCAGGTGCGGACGCTGCTGTATACCATGGGAAGGCAGGCCAGGAAAATTTTCCAGACGTTTGGCCTCTCGGAAACGCAGTCTCAAAGTTACGATACAGTGAGGAAGAAGTTCGACGGCCACTTCGTAGCCACAAAGAACGTGGTTTACGAAAGCGCCTGTTTCCATCGTCGCAAGCAAGAGAGCGGGGAGAGTGTCGACCAGTTCGTTACCGACCTCCACGTGCTCGCTGACCGCTGCGACTTCGCACAGTTCAGAGACCGTATGATCCGTGACCGGTTCGTCGTGGGACTTGCCGATGCAAAGTTATCCGAAACCCTCCAAATGGATGCCAGCCTCACTCTCGAGACGGCACTAGCCAAGGCCCGCCTCAAGGAGACCGTTCGTCGCCAGCAGCAGGAGCTGCGTCCTCACTCAGATCCAGCGACCTCGGGGGAAGTGGACGCCGTGGGCCAGCGGAGTGGACGCACTGGAGCACCCGGCAACATGCACAGTCGGCTGCCTTCACTTCAGCAGCAGCAGCAGTGGCGGCTCTCCGAGCAGCACCACCAGCTCTGCACGTATTGCGGACGTCCGAACCACCTCAGGACTCAGTGCCCAGCGCGTTCCGCGCGTTGCCACCACTGCAATGCCAGAGGACATTTTGCTGCGGTGTGCCGTAACAAGGTTGAGAAGCCGAAGGTAGGCGTTTCTTCGCTCGAATGGGACCAACCTACCTATTTTGTAGGATCAGTTGGCGCTTCGAAAGCTAGGTTTGTTCAAGTGTCAATTAATGGCGTGCCGGTCTCCGCAAAAGTAGACTCTGGGGCAGAAGTGTCAGTTGTTCCGCCCAGCTTCCCAGGAGCACCGCCTAAGTTAACGCCCTCGTCGGCACAGCTGACTGGCGCAGGAAATGAGCGCCTTCGCTTGAAAGGCACGTTTGAATCTGACATTTTTTGGAAGGGCAATACCACACGACAGACTCTGTATGTCGTAGAATCGGCACATGCAGTTTTGCTAGGTCTTCCCGCCATAGAGGCGCTCGGTGTGGTGAAATTTGTAGATGTGCTGGAAGATAAAAATTATGAGCAAAGGTACCCCCAGCTTTTCTCTGGTCTTGGGGCATTGTCTGGCGAGTACACCATTCGGTTGAAGGCCAACGCGATACCTTTCGCTATTTTCACGCCCAGGCGCATTCCCATTCCTTTAAAGGAGGCTGTTAGAACGGAGTTATCTAAGATGGAAGCCAATGGGGTGATACGGAAGGTAGATGGTCCAACAGAATGGTGTGCAGGCATAGTGCCTGTACTGAAACCCTCTGGCGAAGTTCGCCTGTGTGTAGACCTGACGCAGCTGAATAAGTGTACTGCGCGAACGCTTTGTCTTGCCAACAGTGGACGATACTTTGGGCCAGTTGGCGGGAGCTACGTATTTTTCGAAGCTGGACGCTAACTCTGGGTTTCACCAGATAAAGTTGGCAATGGAAAGCCAGACATTAACAACATTCATCACCCCGTATGGCCGCTATTGCTTCCGGCGATTACCGTTTGGAATCAGCTCGGCACCAGAGCATTTTCAAAAGCGAATGGCCGAAGTCTTGGACGGGCTTCCGGGAGTAGCAAACATGATGGACGATATTTTAATTTTTGGAGCCACAAAGACTGAGCATGATGACAGATTGCGCGCCGTTCTCGAACGGTTGAGCACTGCCGGCGTCACCCTTAACCGGGCTAAGTGCTCGTTTGCGGTTCGCGAAGTGGCGTTTTTGGGCTACGTTGTTGGCGACTCGGGTATCAGACCAGACCCCAGAAAGGTACAGGCTATAACAGAAATGGCCATACCTTCGTCAGTTGCAGACATACGTAGATTTTTGGGCATGGTTAATTACTTGGAGAGGTTTTTGCCGAATCTCGCTGAAATATCTGC